TTTATGGACTTTTTCTTCATTTTATATTCATCAATACGGGGTGTGCGAGAGACTTACCTCCACGTGGTGCACTCTGGACAACGCATACTCATACGGCAAAAAAGTCAATAAACCAGCAATTAACCTCTGACTTCAAACCATTATGACCCCACTGTATGTCATATTCGACCACTTCCGCAACACTCACCTCACATTTTCTTTGCATCTGTATCTATCCCTTTTACACCCGCTAATCACTCTTCTGTTATTCCATTTCCATTTTTTTATGACTTTGAAGTTCCTCCCCTCTGAGAAGCCCGAAATCGGCAAAAGGGCTAATGATAAGTATCATAAAGACCGCCATTTGAAATAAATATTCATAAATACACCAAATTTGTAAATTATGATTTTAAAAGAATATTTGCATATGATTGACTACGAATTACATTGATGAAGCGAACTAGGTTTGTGCTCGTTACGAGTTCCATGCTATTCTAAGAACGTTGATGCACTCAAGAACTACTAAAGATAATATTTACAAACTCTGTATTATGAAGCACCCAAACTACCTCGAATCGTACAAACTATTAATGATTTTCAGCTTTTAATATGTAACATATTTCACAAGGCAATGGTTATGATTGTAATAAGCGATTTTAATAGGAAAGAGTTTTTCAGAAAGCCTCTAAAAATCTTTGACTCCCTATTGACGATGATATTAAGCAATAACCTCAAGTAATGTCACATATATCAATCATAATATTAACGGTTGTTACTATATTTTAGATACTTTTCTTTTCCTATTAGCTTATTGAACATGGAATTGAAACCAAATACGAAGAAAATTAAAATAATGAGAAAGAAAATAAGTTTTGTCCAGAGTTTTGAAACTATTTTTTAAATTGTCATTTTTATACAGAAACAGTAAGCTAAATTACTATTATAATAGTTTAATTCTACAGTTCATTAAAGGTCAACTCAGGCGAAATTATTAAATAGTCGATGTATGCTAGCTATTCGAAGCTTGAAAGTCCTTAACATAAAATAATTGACTCTTGCCCTGTTTTTTGCTTAAATATTGATCTTTCTGCATTTGCCATTTATGCTAATTATTTTTGAAGAATCCATTACCTTTATTGCTTTTGTTTTGTGTCAAAGTAATCCTTGATGTCTTTTTCCGATTCTTTATATCCTAGCTCATCTCAGCTTCAAATTGTAATTGTCGTAATTTGAAGTATTATATTTTAGCAATTATGTCGTCTATAACGCTTGATTTCGCTAACCATGGACGTGTTGCTCAATTGGCTCGCACACATTGGCTTCCTTCATCTGATTCGGATCAACTACAGAAACAGAAGAAACCTTTTGATCCAGATGTTGTCAATTATATTTATCAGGAAGACCTCATTAGCTTTGCTTTTTCGCATCGTCGTTGTATGTCTTTAGAATTGGCTCAATATCTCGAGTATTGGTTATGGCCACATTTTGATGAAACAAGTTCTCGTGAACATATCATTTCCATTTGCGCAATGGTTAATCAGAAGGCACGTGAAAGGGTTCCGCTATGGCAGGTAGTGTTGAATTAAACTCAATTTTTGTTCTACAAACGTTAATTCTCTGAATGCCATTTAATCTGTTATTTTTAGTGTTTTCTGGACAGACCAGATCAGTTCGGTCTACTGATCTATCGAGTTATTGAAATGATCATTGATGACCCGATTGATCCAAGTTTTCTCAAGCCCGAGAGCAACTCCGAATCAAAACAAAAGTGCGAAGAACAAAAGAAATGCCTTACAGAGCACATTGTTTTAATCACGTTCCTATCTCATTGTTTCACCAATTTGGCAGAGGTCGGAGTTTTGCGACGTTGTTTGAAGGACATATATTGTCTAGCTGTTTGGCGTCATTTACAACCAGAGAGACTGGAGAAGGAACTTTCCAATGCCCCACCCCGCTATCGCAAGCTCCTCAAAAAGCTCGAGAAAAGCGTTGCCTCCTTACAACCTAAAGAATTCGAAAGACTTATTAAACAACGTGCATTTGTAGCCAATTTCATTGATAAGTTCCTGGTTACAATTGAGCAGTTACCCGGCCCCAAGGTTAGTAGTATTCAACCATTGTGAGCTTGCAAATGTCTTTCTTTATTCTATGTTTTAAGTTCCTTGTTTATTTTAGGATTTGGATCCAATACTTGCCCACTATCTTCATAGAAGTTTACTCTTGTTAATTGACTTGTCAAGCTTGCTTTTAACGAGACGTTTTCTGATGATTTTAATGGATGATCGTCACACGGTCATTCGCTGTCAAAGCTGTGCACTTTATCAACCGGAGGGGAAGAGTGAAGGTTCTCTGTTCTCTGAACTTGTTGATATCTACGCCTTTTATGCCCAATTTCAGGTGGATTCCACTACGGGTGAAGCTGTGGATGCGAAACAACTGGATCAGAGGTTAGTACATTTCTAATATGCAAACTGTTGGCAAATAGATTACTACCCAGTTGATAGTGAGGTGATCTCCTTTCACTAGGACTTCGTTACATTTTCATTGTGTTCAAAAGAATGTGTAGATTTAGACTTTCAGTTAATCCATTTAACCGGGAAATCCTCCCTTTGGAATTCCAGACCCGACTCAAGTTCATGACGAGGAAATTGTCACAAATGTTACTTCGTCTCCCAACCTTACTGTCATTTTCCATTTGTAGGCACTGTGCACAGATGAATAAGCTTCAATTGGCCGTATTTTCGGAGAGTCGTGAGGGTATATTTCGTGATTTTGCAGTGTCGAACCCAGCCGCCTATGAGACTAAGGAGAAGTTGACAGATTTCTTGAGACAGTTATCGACTGATCAGCTTGTAAAACTTGCCGCAAAGTTCCAATATTTGCCCTTGGAGAGGGAAGATGGTCTTTCCGGGCCTGCTGCAAAGAAGAGAAAGACTGATGAGGAACCCACTCTTCCCTCTTTTCCGCCTATATTCTCGGACAATCTCTTCAACAAGGACATGGTTATCAAGGTAACGGTGTTCAAATTTTACTTTACTATAACCTTAGAGTAAAATATTTCAACTTACTTTCCTTAGGGCAACGTGTAGCGTTATTATTCTTATTTGATAAATCTTCGTGCTAAGCGTAGGTTGCGGGATTGATTCAAATCGGTTCTCATTCAATACTAATTAAATCTTATCAATGCGAGTTCTGATAGGATGCTGGAATTGGAATGAAGGAAGCGGAACTTGCGATAGTCATCATTTGGAAGCCACTGGCATAATGTCCCAAGAATTGTTCACAGTTACCATCACTTTATATCTCCTCACGAAAACTGTTTTATTGCTCTTTTATTAACTTCGTCACTTCATAGGTCACTTAGTTTATTTATTCCAGTGGCACTCAAGTTGAAAAATTGCATTTTTTTATTTGTAGTTTCAGTCATTCCACATCAGATATAAGTTTAAAACCTAATAATAACCCTTAAAATGATTTAAATACCCCCTCCCCCATATTTTGCAGCTCCTCACCTACCACTTTGCGATTCGTCAGTCCCATCTCTCTGAGATGAACAGCGCACCCCTCTACCCTACGGAAGATCTCCTCTGGAATGAACATCTAGTTCCAAATGAATTCTTCTCCGGAGATGAGTGTTTAGCTCTTCCAAAACTTGGTTTGCAATTCCTTACCCTCCAAGACTACCTCATGCGCAATTTCACCCTCTTCCGTCTGGAGTCGACTTTTGAAATTCGCAAGGTAAGCTTTCCTCCTCTACTATGGCGCTTACTATACTTGTTGGGATGTGTGCGACGCAATCGTGGAGATATCCAATCTTAGAACTATTTTCGCATCAAGGACACTGGTGTACTCTAGGTCTGCATAAGACGAATAAGAAATCAATTATAGGGAGGCTTTCATTTTGAACAAGTAACGACAAAGTGGACCTTAATAACCTTATGGACTCATCATTTACTCCCTATTGATATGCTCTCGTCAGAGCTTATTGGTGCAGTTCAGTTTAGTTTCTTACTGGTGGACTCAGGACGTATTCTAGTCAGGTTCCGACATTAGTTTTGTTTTCATCTTTTCTCCGACCGATACTAATAATTAGTTGGGTTTAATAGCAATAAATATCCTTTTAGTTTCATTATCCCTGACGGCGGGAGGGAGAGATGGAACGTTGAGAATCACAGTTGCTTCCTGGCGTCATTATTCAGTATTTTTAATTTCATTCCGTATATATTAGAAAGATAAGAAGTGGACGGCGGTCCACACGGCTTTCAAGACGGTATCTCTCAAAAAGGCCAAGGACTGGTAGGAGTTTTGAATCGAATATTTCTTTCTACTTGCAGTCTCGGCGCCCCTTTTTCATCAAAACCTCCAACACTTCTTATTTTAAGAGGGCTCGGTTGGATCGCGGTTTTTAAGTATGAAATTTTACATTCCTTTTCACTTCCTTTATCACATTCGGACCAAATTCATCTAACACACAAATAATTGATTTATTCCCATAAATACTTGTGATATTTTAGGATCTGGAGGACGCAATCAGTCGGATGAAGCCATGGTGTGGTGAGCAGGGTCAAGTTGTATTTGACGGTTGGTCGCGTATGGCACTGCCCATTCAGAGCTTCAACATTGTCGAAGTGGGCAAACCGGCGCTGGGCGCTAAACAACCATCGCGCGTTCGTGCTGACGTGCGTGTGGTACTTGCTGGACTTCGAGAGGATATTCAAAAAGAGTGGCAGGGTATTCGCCGTCACGATCCTCTCTTTCTTGTCACTGTGCAGCCAAAGAGTAATCAACGTAATTGGAGGTAAGATCCATACTTAATTAACTTTAAAGTCAACTACAAATATGGACATTTTACTTCGACACCTTTGTTGGAGTATATTGCTTAATCCTTGCATTAGAATAAGCGCCTACATCGGCCAATGTGCTGAATTAGAGCCTTGGAGTCCTATATTCTAGCCAAGAGATGGGTTTTCAGAATGTGATATTCTCATCAGAGGCTGCAGAATGCTATTTCTCCACCCAAGATATGAATCTATTCTTTTTCACTTTCTTAGATAATATTGCTATTATCGCAAAGACCCGGCTTCAATTTTTTTAGATCAGTTTATGATGTTATCATGAACGGTAGTCTAGGATTTTCTGCCCATATTCGGTGGGACTTTAGCCGACGAAGTTCTTAACCAAAAAAACCTTGGTTGTTTGAAACAATGCTAGAACGTTTAAGAGGCTTCTCTATTGAACCTACAGTCAAAAGTCCAACAATTGATGCTATATATAACCCCCTATTGATTTATTCAGGTACAATCCAAGGCAGCCTTTTCTTTCTCAAATTGGAATTTTGGCAGTCCGAGGTTGCGAAATTGAAGGCCAAGTAGACAAAGCCGGAAAGCTGATTCCCGACGAGGAACGATTTGGTCTAGTCCCAGGAAAAGGTACGCGTCTCCTTTGTAACTTGGTCTGAATTGTCGCTTTCTCATAGTTTTTTTATTCCTATTAATAGATGCATGATTATAGTTCGGAATTGGTGGGCGATTAGTGAATTGGTAAAATGCTGGTCTTAGAAGCCTGCTGGAAGTTTGTCTTCCAGTTCTTTTTATGCTGTCCAAATGGCATAATTACTAATGTTTATTGGTCATTTCACCTAGTTTATCAATGGATCTGGAAATACTATAACATTTTCACGCTAGATATTAGTTCCCTGAATGATCAGTAAAGATATGGCTGAATGGTTGTTTTCAATTCGAGAAACCTGAAGTCCCTAAATATCCTCATTCAGTGTTCTAAATGGTTTCTCCTGTTTACTTTTATTCACATTTGCCTGCAGAGTCTTTTGATGTTGCTGCAACTGCTCCAACGTGGCGAATCAGTCTGGACGCTTGTCAGTACCAGCAGGATATAACACGTCTTCGTGATGAGAAGAACCGTGGCAAGGCGATTCGTGTACAAATCGCTCGGGCGAAACGGGAGGGCAGATCGAAGGATTACATCGAAGAACTGGAAAAGAAAGCATTTGAGGCGGAAGCTGCTTCTCCGGAGGACATCTACGACACTTTCAATGTCCTGGTACGCAGAAAACCGAAGGAGAACAACTTTAAAGCGGTTCTGGACACAATTCGGTATGCTCTTGTCAGTCGATTCATTTTTACACCACCTCAACTTACTTTAGAACGAATTTCTTTACAAGAAGTTGGGTGATGGATGGAGTTGCATTTATTTAGAGAGAGAGAGAGGTAGGGAAAAGTGGTTAAGGGAAAACAATAGTGGTCGCGTACTACCTGATATATGATGTACGTGCCGAGGTTTAAGTAGGCCATTATTAAGGAGTAGTACATGGAAATGCCATTTTAAATTGGGTCTCAAAAATGTTTGAAGGATGGAAATTGGGACGGAGGAACCACTAGCCTACATTTCTATCGAGCTCTGGACCAAGTACATGTCCCTATCCAGCTATTGACTTCTCCACTATTCAATTCTGCGTGCAGACGAGGTGCGTGCCACCTGGGATGTTGGTGAATTTTCGGCATGTTTTGTGGCTTACTCTATAATAAAACCTGATGGATAGTGATTTAAGAAGAAGAAGAAGAATAAGTTACTAGATTACGTTATATTTACTCTCCTTTGTTGTGTAGCATTTGAAGTTTTGTAAAATTAGACATTTGTGGGTAAGTTGAAGCTCAATGGATTTTACCTCTTAAATCTTAGTTCTTTATTGATCTTCGACAATATTCTCATCTCTAGTTGGTCGGAATTAGGCATTGAGTTTGGTCATCCGCATCATTGGATGTTTCGTGGTTCAGCACTCCCATGACCCTTGACTTGCTAAGGATTTGCCGTTTCTCCTATCCAACTATTTGCCTTTCTGCCCTCTCCTTGTAGAGATTTGATGAACACGCGTTCAGTTGTACCTGACTGGCTTCTGGATCTTTTGATGGGTTATTTGGATCCAGCTGCTGCACATTTCTCGCGTCGACCAGATTTCTATGAGCCTCGACAAAATTGGTTTGATACCTTCCTCTCCGCTGAACATGTTAGAAAGGCATTTCCGCAGTACAACGTCAAGTTTGTTGATGCGCGATATAAGTCGCAGGAGGAAGGGAGGACTTCTGAAGAAGTTGGTGGTAAGCAGTGTTACAATTTGGACATTCTGATAGTTTTAGCGTAAACACATAGAAACTGGACTTGAATTTCTATTGCGTTTGAAATCTAGAAGTATCTGTCGTGAGATACCTGGAATTTAAACTAATTTCTTAAAGGGGAAATTGAGCAGCACTGTGGTTTCTGCACATCCATTTCAATAGACATGCACCTCGAAACACCTGTTTTAATGAATGGTAGTGGAAATCAAGGTAGACCATGCTAATCACAAGCTAGCTTATTCCTGCCATGTTATCTTGAAGGCGTCGATTTATTGGACCCTAAAATGAACCTCTATTGCGTATGCAATGAATTTTCCCATTAGAAACCTTTCAAGCGGCTATGTATTTAATTACCACGTAGGCTCAAATCTAGTCGTGGAATTTCCCTCTAAACGTTCTTCGTGCCTCCTAAGAGTTCAATTTTATCATTTTGGAACTATCCACACAAGCTAGTCCTGTTTTGGGGTTCGGATTTAGTCCCTTCTGTTTATGGTTGGTCTCTAAGTCGATACATTATAAAATCTTAGACAAACTTTTGTTATCCAAGCTCTCAGTGTCTCACCACACGATGTGGTGAGTTGACCATAACTGACCCCCTCCCCTGATGTCAACCATGTCTAATTTGTCTCAAGTCAGATTCAGTATAAAAGCACGATCGTTGTTAGTTGTGTTCTATCATGAGTCTTCTAGGTATTTGATACATAATTTCTAATACGCTGAAATGACTATTTCGTTCATCTTATTTCTCCTTTTCTCAGCTTCTGATCCTCCCCCTCCATACCGCATAACCTTCCCACCGCTTGAAGAAGACCCCACAGTCCTCGTCGAAGCTTGCTTGGCAGATACCGCGAACCCCAAACCACATCCCTCCGAAGAGTCGACGATATCTCCCAACTCCAAACCGCTCTTAACAGTCGAATCATTCACTCCCGTGGGTAGTCAAGTCCCTTGGAACCTTCTCACTGTGGATTGTCCCACTTGGCTTCCTGGCTCCACGTCGACAGGCGTGAAACCCGGCAACCGCATCGCTTTCACATCGCGTCAAATAGAGGCGATTCGTGCGGGCATGCAACCAGGTCTCACTATGATTGTGGGTCCACCTGGTACTGGTAAAACGGATATTGCCGTACAAACCATCCACAACCTCTATCATAACTATCCTGGTCAGAGGTAGCCACTCATTACTATCATTGCCCATAGAATTGTTTTCATAGACTTGCGGTTAGAGGACAGGTTCTGTGTTCCATACGTACTATTAGTATCTTCATCGAATCTTCATATTTTAAAATGCCTGCTAGTGTGTGGCGTAATGACAGTAAATGTACTATTTGAAAGCTACGCATTTATATTTTGATTAAAGAAGCATCCATTTTTAAGGGTTGACAGTAAAACGTTCCCGAATAGGCGTTCCAATTTCATTAAAGTGGGGGAGCAACTTGAGATCATTTGTACACTTTATCCCAGAGCCAAATTCTTTTCGGAATTTCCTTATTTGAAATTGCTAATGCTTTTGTTATAGCAGGAAACCTTTATTTATTTATATCAAATGACAGGCGTTTTGATGGTTATCATTAGCCCTTTAGTTGACTTCAGGCTTCACAGAGAGGAAGGAATATCCAAGTGGAAAAAGTCGAGAAGAGGGGGGGGGGGGGACAGAAGAGGGTTTCAAAGANGGGGGGGGGGGTGACAGAAGAGTGTTTCAAAGACGAAGGTAGAAAAACGGTGAGGTGAGTTCTGTGGAAGTAGTCGAATATGACATACAGTGGGGTGATGGTAGTTTGAAGTGAGAAGTCAACTGCCAGTTAATAGACTTTTTTGCCGTATGAATATACGTTGCCCAGGGTGCACCACGTTGAGGTAAGTCTATCGCACACCCCATAGCAGGAAATACTTTGCTAATTAAATATCTAATTTTGATCATTAACGGAGAGTTATGTAGATTCTTAATTCTCTTCGACCTCGAATGTGAATTAACTGCTCAGTTATCCCCCTTACTATCCCTTCCATCATACTACATTTGTTTTTTGGTAATTGACGTTTTAATGATTTTAAGGTGGTTATTAGGGTAAGATTTATCACTGCTTATCTTTTTTTGTAGAATCCTAGTAGTGACCCATTCTAATCAGGCCTTGAATCAGCTATTCGAGAAGATTATTGGTCTGGATATTGATGAACGCCACCTACTTCGTCTGGGTCATGGTGAAGAAGCCCTAGCAACTTCGAAAGACTTCTCCCGTTATGGTCGAGTGGATTTCATCCTCTCCAAGCGTATTGAGTACTTGCAGAAGGTAAGAGATCTTCAGCAAACTAAATAAATAAGTCAAATGAGTCAAGTTCACTCATTTTGTCTTTGTGTATTTTGTAGGTTGTGCTTCTTCGCAAGAGTTTGGAGATTGAACAGAGCGAAGATGCAGCCGCAGAATCGAAACTTCTAGTCAAGGAAGTAGATGAGAATGCTCACCAGTTGTTCACTTGTGAAACCGCGCAGTACTTCCTGCTTCAAGAAGTCCTTCCTCGCTGGGAGAAGTTCATCACAGAGGCTGCAAAGCTACTTAAAGGTGGTGAAGGTGGTGAAATATTGGCCAATGAATCCGCCCCGTCGGATTTTGTGGCAAATAACTTCCCCTTTAATTCATTCATCACGGGTTTTACTAATCCACCAAAGGATCTTATCAAACGCATCTTTCCTGTAAGTTCACGGTGATGCTTTCTTAGTGCATTTGATAGCTTTCTTATTTGAGTCGATTTCATCTGACTTTGTATAGGGTAGCAACTTAACCGAGGATCTCGCGATAGCACGCTCCTCCTTCCGTGCCATATCAGCAATTTTCAACACTCTGGAGGAGTTTCGCGCCTTTGAACTAATGCGTACGGGTTTAGAGCGAGCTAATTTCCTACTGACTCAAGAAGCCAAAATAGTAGCCATGACGTGTACTCACGCGGCTCTCAAACGTCGTGATCTAGTCCAACTCGGTTTCACCTACGATACTATAATCATGGAGGAAGCCGCGCAAATTCTGGAGATTGAGACCTTCATTCCTCTACTCCTTCAAAACCCCGATATCTCCGGATGCAATCGCCTCAAGCGTTGGATTATGATCGGCGATCACAACCAACTCCCTCCAGTTGTCAAGAACCAGGCTTTTAATAATTTCTCCAATATGGGCCAATCACTATTTACTCGAATGGTGAAGTTGGGTGTACCGACTATTGAGTTGGATGCACAGGGTCGTACTCGCCCATCCATTGCGCGACTGTATAGCTGGCGGTATGAGCGTCTTGCGGATATCGAACATGTCGTCTCGAGGCAGGAATACAATCTTTGCAATCCTGGTTTCAGATATGAATGCCAGATCGTCAATGTGGAGGACTATAAGGGTAAATTCTCAACTGAAGGGTAATCTCGTTGATAGCCTATTCAAGTTGATTATAGACTCCAACTTGGAATTGGGAGGGCTATATAGTTTTTAAACTCGGGATTTATTCTTGGATTTTTATTGCTTAATCAGCTCAACTTTGACAACACTCATTTTATTATTATCCTTCCGGATGCTTGTTGAGATTAGCCATTGATTGAATGTCTTTTCTCTTTGATTTTACTAAAATTTGATGTTGTCCATTAGTGTCCCTATAGAAAATTTTTTAATCAGATATTCGCAATGATGTGATCTGAAGTACTAAAGCAATCTTTTATTTTTCAACAAATATTCTTATTTACTACATATTCATCTAAAAACACCTTTGTTGGCGTAGTCTAGTTAGGTGTTTATGGTAAAACTTCTTATAGACAAGTCAAGAAGAAAGTTGAAATAAAAAAATAAATCTGCATTTATTACTTCTGTCTCTGACAGCGTAGGAATGCGATCGAGCAGTTTTTTGGCTTACAGCATTCATTTAATGCATGCATTTCAACTGGTGAGGGGTCTGAGTTAGCTTACTTGCGGCTCGAAAGATCCCAGTGTGTTATATGATGAGAACGCTTGGTAAAAGAACAATTTTCATAATTTGTATTGCTGTTCTAGGTGTTGGAGAATCAGAACCAAGTCCGTTCTTTTATCAGAACTTGGCTGAGGCGGAATACGTTGTGGCAACTTACATGTACATGCGAATTCTCGGTTACCCTGCTGACCGAATTACAATCCTCACTACATACAACGGTCAGAAACATCTCATTCGTGATGTAATCAACGCTAGATGTGCTTCTAATCCGCTTTTCGGAAAGCCCAAATCTGTTACAACTGTGGATAGGTTCCAGGTACGTGTTTCTTGGTGTATATGAGAATCACTGGAAAGGATATCGCGATTCTAACTGTGTTGCGCTTGTATATAGGGTCAACAAAACGACTACATATTGGCTTCCTTGGTTAGGACTCACACCGTAGGCCATCTTCGAGATGTGCGTCGTTTAGTTGTTGCATTATCTCGTGCCCGATTAGGTCTCTACATCTTTGGACGCGTTGATCAGTTCGCCAACTGTCAGGAGCTTCGTCCAGCGTTTGACCGTCTTATCGGTCGTCATGGTCTTGGGCCGGATGGGGAGATCAGGCCCACTAGATTTCATCTCACTCCTTGGGAAACGTGGAAAGATCCTAGGAGCCCTGCTTCTGCTGATCTACGTCCTATGAAGGCGAAGCTGACGCAAGAGCCGATCGTTATTGACGATATGCCAACAATGGCTACTTATGTCAGTAAACTCTATGAGGAACGTGTGAAGGAGATGGTTGCCCGTTATAATGCAATGAAGGGGGTTCGTAAGTCTATTGCTCCACGAATTGTCCAGAAGGAGGTTGCGCTTGCTGAACCTGCTGAGGGTAAATCAGAACCTGAAAAAATCGTGCCAATTGCGAAGATGGATATAGACGAAGAAAAAGAGGGAGATTCAAGCTCATCGGAGGAAGAGGGAGCTCAACAGGATCCTATTTCTACAGAAGTTTCAGAAAGCACCGTTCCACCGATGCTGCATTTTGAAGTTAAAACTGAAGGGCAAGAAGAAAAAGAGGATGGTGACGGAAAATGAACTATTTTTCCCTGTATACATCAATTTGTTTAATAATAATAATAAATCCATTTGTAATACTCTTATACTTTTTTAATGAGTACAATGCCATGGGGAATAGTTACGTTTTGCTTAAATCTGTGTTTGTAAAGCTCTGCGACCAAGTAGCTGTGCGCATTTGCAATCTTAAATCATTGGAAAATCAAGCTTCTATTTATTATTTTTTCCAACTTTTTACTAATTTAGTCGAACTGGGTGTAAGAAATTGAAGTTTTTCTATGTTTATTTGGGCAATTTTTTGCTCTCATTGGAATTGAAACTTTTCCTCCCAAAATTATACGAAGCTAAACGATTAAAATGGGTTCGGTTGATCACAATATTCTAATTGGTCATGATTTAAGCAATGCTCATGTCATTGATTTTGAAGAGTTGATGAGTGGGTCTGGTTGAATTAAAAACTAGACCTCTATGGAATGGAAAAATTACAAATCTTTTAAGATAAGCACAAATTGAATAAGTCTTCCGTGTTAATGGAATGTGCCCATAGCTATCGATTAAGACTATGAAAAGTTACTTCTCTAAATAAATTTTCAGTTTTACAGTAAAGTCAATCAGCAAACGATTTTATCATATTTTCAGAAATTTCAATATTGCTTTATAATATGAATGACTTGAATTTATTAAAAGTTAATCCTACGACTTCTCCTTTATATTCAAATGATTAGCAACATTTAAGATTATTAACATTCACAATCAATTTAAGGAGATAAAGAAATAGAACCTATTATTAAAGCACTGGATATCGTAAACAGGCCAACGAATAGACGAAACATAAAACTGAAATTTTTAAAAGTAAATACTTAATTTTGCGAATGACACATAAACCAGGTCTGAAAATCAAATGGAGTAGAAAAGTTGATATCTTGTTTTTTCTTATTGTAAATTATGGATCAATTTACCAGATATTTCTTTCTCTTCTATCTTTCATTTGATAACCGTTACTCACGGCAAGAAATAGCTGTATTTAATTTGTCCTTTTGCATTTTTGAGGGCGACAATATTAAGGGATAAATTCAAACAGCTTTAAATCGATATTTTAAATGAACACTTTTGGCCTTAATACTCTCCATAATGAGAAAGAGCATAATATGAATCAATGATCATGGTGAAGGTCACGTCCCTAAGTGGATTATTGCAAGAAATCGCCAAAGAACGATCGAAAACATTAGGCAAATTATGTGTTGTGATTGTGAATAAATTTAATTATTATGATTTTAAGTGTAAGCTATTGAACTCATACCTTCTCATGGTATTTGCAAAATATTTAACTGATTTTACCTTGAATATAGAGTAGATATTTAGTGTTAAATTAGACGAATTTAGAATAGTTTGAGCTATTTTGGTGATGTTTACAGTGGCATTATTTAATCCTTGCTTTCATATGCTATTTCGTTCACTGATTTAATCAATTTTCGTAATGAATAAGGGCATTTCATTATTTAGACATTAATTACAAGATAATAGAAACTAGTTGCTTTAATTTTCTTGAAACATGACATTTCTTATTTATATCATTGATCTGTGGGTCTAATTCTATTTTGATATTTTAGAATTAGAATGCGGAGTGTCTTCTCGTAATCAGAAGATTAATTCATCGAGAGATGTTTTCTGGGCTGCTCTATTCAAATCAACATTTTGCTCTATAAACGTACTTCATTCAATTGACAGTGGATCTCATGATGATCTTCTTTTCTTTGTTGGACAAACTAACTCTAGATTTGCAAAGGTAGTCTTTCAGCTATGTCTGATTAGTTAAATTCAGCCTGATGTACGGGTATTTCGCCAATCCAGCCCAAACGTTCCTCCTATCAGTGATCCCACGATTAATTGGGAAAATACCGTCCACCTTAATCTCATCACTCACTGTGTTCGTTTCCGTGTCTCTACTAAACTAATCCCATCTCATTACTACTTGATTCTGATATAGTATATTTATTCAGTTTGTGTATGTAGTGACCCTTGGAATTTGTACACGCTCAGGAGCTCAGGAAATGGAGATACTGAAAAAGAAATCCCTGGTAATTTAATAGAAATTCAGCATTTAATGCTAATTCGCCTGATGAATTTCTTTTCGACTTCTTTCATTTAGGTTGTTTACGCATCACCTAGCTATCGGCCCATGGACTCAAAAGGGACTCAAGAAACTATTGTCTATCCTCATATCGTCTTTCCAATAGATAATTTCGAGGAGGTTTGTTAAATTCTATCCAAATCAAAGTTTAAAATTATTAGTTTTATTGGAAATTTCCTGTTCCCGTTTACATTATTTCATAGCACTCAATGCCTTTGAAAAGAATAACTTTTAACTTTTATTGAAATATATTACCCATTTTGTGTTTTTTGCGTTGCCATATTTTCTACATACAATTTTGACCCAATTATAAAATGAATTCTAGTCTTAGGTAGGGTTTTGTCTTCTCCATTTGAAGGGTTTTCAAGATTGCGTACTTCGAGATAGTGAATACCTCTGTGTCGAACTCGCCGCGTACGACAGATCTGGTGTCCTTCAAGGAGTTCTCTTTGAGAGTGTTGTACGATATTCTGTCTTGAAGAATGCACACGATATCGATGTAAGTCATTTTTCAATTCTATTTTAGCTGTAACAAGGCGACTATTAACTAGAAGATTTTGTTATTCATTTGAGCCAAGTTCTTCCAAATTCCTGTTAATGTATTTTGCTTAGAGATAAATTTCGATACCTTATGATTTTCTTTTCCTCATAAATTCTCAGTTCTAAACCTCTAATTTTTGCTTAGGCTAGATTGAGAGTTTCTTTGAATGGCGACAACGATGGCTGCTTTTTAGTTGAAAACAGTTGGGTAGAATAGGTGACAATTGAAATTGGTTGATAAGAAAAATTATATTTTTATACACAAATTTGTACCAATTAACCTATAGTTCTTGGTAAATATATCTAAATTTCAATAACTGTTTATTTAATTTACGTGGCTTGGAGTTTCAGCGCCTATTCGCCTAAAACGGTGTGAATAGGGGGGG